TGCTGCAGGTCTGTGTGTTTGGGCTGATGAGAACACAGTGACAAAAGAATCTGTTACATATGCAGAGTGGAAATATGGAGCGAAGATAATTGCAGTATATTGTTGCAGATAAATCTGGAGTGCAGGTACCAACAAAGACAATCAGTCTGACAGTCTATGGTGAGCACTTTAATTCAGCTTCATCTTCCTTCTCAGTCTGTTTTTAAAGCCAGGTTCAGGAATGTGTAGCATCATTTTTGTATGTCCGAGATTCAAAAAAGAGAAATTTGAATGTTTGGCCAATGAGATTTTGTTCTGTAGCTATTTAAAACAAGCTTGTTAAGGGAGAATATTTCATTCTTTGCAATGTAAACTGATGCTCATTAAAAGTGACTTAGCGCTCGTTCACTTGAAAACACAATTTTCAGCAATGATGCTTTTACATTGTAACTATATAATTTACTCTTTCAGAAAAGGCTTGGTGATGTTTTTCACTGTAGGTTTTTTGCATTCAGCGCACTGTGTTTAAGCTGCGGTGTTTATTTTAAGTAGGCTTCATTTTTCCTATGACCTACAGTGCAGTGCATTAATAACTGAACAGTTAGACACTGTTCTTGTTGTTGTTGTTTTGGCTCTGTACTCTTTAGTTATTGGATTTGAAATGATATAATGTTTATGTAGTTAAAGTCCAGAATGACATTTTAGATTTACGAATGTTTATATCTACATTGCTAAACTGGGTAAACCATATATGAATTACAGTTCTTTTATACACATTCTTACATTTCAGGTAAGCAAGGGTGAGTGAACAATCTTATTTGTACTCAGTGACTGCCTTTGATTTCCCTGGTAGAGCTTGTTAGCTATTTTCAGTTTTGGTCTACTCTGTCCAGTTCTACCTTTGTAAGTCCACCTTGTAGTCATTAACCAAACTGCTCAGTGAGGTTTAGTTTGAAAGAGACAAAAAACACCCCCCTTGTAAAACAACCATCACCCCTTTCCGTCGCCTTTGGTCTGTTGTGATGCCACTTAAGATGCATTTATAGATATCTTTATTCCATCCATTGTGATTTATAGACACCATTGGAGTTCTTTATGTTAAAAAAACAAGTTATGATCAGGCCAAAGCATGAGCACCTTGGTTATGTAGAAGTGCATCTTTCACTTTATATCGGTTATATATAACCATGTTAATCATGCTGTGGAGTGTTTGGTACAGCACATACCCACTGTGAGTGGGTAGCCAAACTGGGCTATTTTTAAAAAGAAGTTGTGGCAGAAAATGATGAAGTTTCAGCTTCTGGTAGATGGCTTTTAAGCAAACTTTGGGCTGGAGATTTTCACTATACCTGGCAACCCTTATCTTAAATACAGCAAGACCTGTGGAATATCTCATATTTTAGAGGATTTTTATGATGTGACAAACTATTGGAATGATGTTCATCTTGTTTTATTGTCTTTAAAATAAAGTTTTAGGCAACAACTCTTAGTAAAATCTTATTCAGTTGGGTTTTTATCAGGGATTACAGTAAGGCTACTTTCTTTTTCATACATAGTTGGCATGATTAGCCTATTTTTAAACACTTTAAATATTAAACATAGATTATATTTGTAAAAGGGCCAGAAATGTGGAAATTGTCCTTCCATCACTCTGCAAAGACATCCTTTGTAATACACTCAATGCTTAGTTATGTTTTTCTATATACACAGGATACTTCAGTCGTAATGGCTTCCTTTACTGGCATTGGCACTTCTTTGGTCCCTTTTTGGTCTTTGGAAACCAGATGCAAATCTTACATTTAGAATCAAGTACCTTTTGTTAGCTCTCTAATAATCAGACACAGATGGCCAAGAAATAACCAAAGTGTCCAAGTACTTCCCAAATGGGAGTCCCAAAAGGGGGTGTAATTCTTATTATTCATATCAAAAGATTACACTACATAAACTTCTTTTACAGCCGTGCTTAATGTTGAGATTGAGAGCAGTCAGACCTGGGTGGAGTACAAAAACAGCTGTGAAGTTCATCTTCTTTGCAAAGTGCGGGAAGCTGAGAAGGTGTCCTACACATGGAGCGGCTATAAGACTGACAGTGGAGCCGAGCTGAACTTCACTCTCTCACCAGCAGAGGGAGACGTTACACTGACCTGTACTGCAGCCAACAGTTACAGTAATGTTACTAAAACAACGAGAGTGACCTGCAATCCAAGCAAGACCCCAACAGGTGTTTACAGTACTCATACTGTATTATGCAATTACAATACTTTACTGTATTAGTACAGTTGTTTCCTGTATTTCTGTATTTCTGATCTACTGTGAACCTACAGGGGTCTCAATTTTAGTATGTTACTGTATGTACTACAACATGTAAAGACATAGACAAACACCAAAAATCTATCTAGCAAGCTTCAGGTAGCAAATGATTACATTAATGCACACAGTTAAAAGAACAATTATGTTATTTCACAAGAGCATAGAACTGCACATCAATCACACAATGAACTGAACATCACATTACAGTGACAGTTATAGCATCATTAAGACTATAAAGACTGTAGCAACCAAATATCTATTGATTTTAACATTATAGGATGAACTAGTTACTGAAATACCATAATGATTGGACTAACAAATATAAAATGCATTCAAATGAATAATTATGTTAGAAAATGCATATTTACGTAAAAAAAGCTCCGCCCCATCACTAGAATAGTGACTTTTCCAGCATGCTTTGTAATTAACAGCTAATTACTGTAAAATTCAACATTTTAACTTCTTTGACAAGAAGCGTAACCTGTATCTCCCAGAATGCATCACTCTTTACAACAATCTGCTGCATTTAAATAGCACAGTAAATTACTGAAGAACTTTCAGAGTAAATTTATTTCAGTTCTTTACAGTGTAATTGGTGGTCAGAGGCCCTTTTTATTTACTAAAAAGCTTTTGTTATTGTGTAAAAACAGGGATTCTCTGGCTCTGTGAAGGTCTTCAACATAATTATCACTCATAGTGGTGGTTCATAGTCATTAGCAGTGGGTAATGTTACAGCCTTGTAAACAGGAGATGAAGATTCAAATCTCTCTGCTTTTATATTTTTTACTGGAGTTGGTTGAAGATACTTGGTGAGAAATACAGAAATGTTCAGTTTATAATGTATGTATTGTAATTAACAACCCTGTCCTATTAGTGAAAAGTTGGTTATGACAGACTTATTTAAATGATCAAGCATCTAAACTATTACATTACAGTGATTTTATCCTGTGTGTGTTTCAGGTGTATCTAATTCAGGAGCTTCATTCTCAGTGTTCAGTCTGCTCAGTAGTTTAATGGCAGTGTCTCCGTATCTGCTGATCTCAATTGTTATGGGGATCAAATGCTACAGAGCTCGAGGTAAGAATTCACAGTTTTCCTGTGAGTCACTTACAGGAAACACTCTCTCAGCCTCACTGAGACATTTTTCTTAGCCTTCAAATAAATCATAACATTTGATTGATTTGATGTTCATCATTGTGTGTTTCACAGCTAAACCTGATGAGGAGAAAAGAGCACACACAGTGATAGAAGATGGAGCATGTTAACGAGAGCTTTGACAAGATTTGACATTCTAATTATCTACCTGTGTGCTTTAAATCCCCATCTATAGAGGTTGTTTGCATAAGATCAGTTTTTAACAGTGTTTTAATGGAGTTATTAAATAACATCTCCTGCACTAAAAACATCCAGCAGGTTTGCTCATACTTCACCACCATTTACTTCACCACCATTTACTTCACCACCATTTACTTCACCACCATTTACTTCACCTCCATTTACTTCACCACCATTTACTTCACTACCTTTTACTTCACCACCATTTACTTCACCACCATTTACCTCACCACCATTTACTTCACCACCATTTACCTCACCACCATTTACTTCACCTCCATTTACTTCACCACCATTTACTTCACCACCATTTACTTCACCACCATTTACTTCACCACCGTTTACTTCACCACCGTTTACTTCACCACCATTTATTTCACCACCATTTTCCTCACCACCATTTACTTCACCACCATTTACTTCACCTCCATTTACTTCACCACCATTTACTTCACTACCTTTTACTTCACCACCATTTACTTCACCACCATTTACCTCACCACCATTTACTTCACCTCCATTTACTTCACCACCATTTACTTCACCACCATTTATTTCACCACCATTTACTTCACCACCATTTACTTGACCACCATTTACTTCACCACCATTTATTTCACCACCATTTACTTCACCACCATTTACCTCACCACCATTTACCTCACCACCATTTACTTCACCTCCATTTACCTCACCACCATTTACTTCACCTCCATCTACTTCACCACCATTTACTTCACCACCTTTTACTTCACCACCATTTACTTCACCACCATTTACTTCACCACCTTTTACTTCACCACCATTTACTTCACCACCATTTACTTCACCACCATTTACCTCACCACCATTTATTTCACCACCATTTACTTCCAAATGTTACAACGTTACAAAATAAAACAATAAAAATAATCAATCATATTTTTATGCTATATATTATTTAATTTTACATATAGAATATAATATTATTTATTAATATATGTAAAGTTTAATGATTGGTAATGAATTTACAAGAACCACAAATGAATTTCAGTTTTTCCTCCTTTCTCCTTAATCATAATCTGGTCTCAGTCTTTGACTCGACTACTACAAGTCTTTGTCTTGACTTGGACTTGATGTGTCCAGTTCTCAGTCTTGACTCTGACTTACCTCTAATGGTCTTTACCCTTTCCATGCTACTCTATACATGCTTCCTACATGCCACACTCTCTTTCATTCTTTCTTTCACTTCCTGTATTGCACTTTCTTTCTTTCTTTCTTTCTTTCTTTCTTTCTTTCTTTTTTCTCTCTAACATTAGACGTTTCAGTGCTGGTTAACAGTATTAGGGCTATAGCTGCGGAAGCCCAGGCCAGGCTCCGCCCCTGTGAGGAAGTGTTTTTCTCTCTAATGTTAAGTGAACACTGTCAGACTGGCTGCTGCAGGTCATGAACACATAGTCATAAATAGAGATGAGAACCTGTTACAGATATCATGTTTTATCCTCTGGAGCAGCGCTGCTTGTTCTCTGTTTTGGTACGTACTTAAACAAATACAGTACTGTACTTTTGCTATTGGACTTTAAAAATTTACTAATTTAATAACTGAGATAAAAAGAGGACTTCCTTGTTCTTATCTTTGAAAGACAAAGGGAAGTAGCATCAGACAGTGTTCCAAAACTATGCTAGGACACTTTGTACTTTACTTGAATATTCAAAATACAAATGTAGACTACTGAGTATTACAATAAATCTCTTATTTTATGTTGTTTTATTTTTCAGTGATGCACTATGAGCTCAAAGCACTTCATAGTTGTCATCAGATCAATTATGTTTGCTATTAGTTGAAAGCCTGTATGACTACGGTAATAACTCTGCTTTGTCATGTAACAGTCTGCTCTCAGTGACTGTCTGAAAAAGGCTCAGGAAACCACAGGCCTTCCTTGTGGTGGCAAAACATGCTAATATAGACATAAAAGAAAAGTTGAGGAAATACTTCCAACTTGTTGATAAAAGTTTTTTACCAACATTTTTGTATCTACTGTTTCATGACTATTCTTATTTTCAAACAGGAATTGTTATTGTAGTTAATATGATAAACACACTCTCTGCTGCAGGTCTGTGTGTTTGGGGTGATGAGAACACAGTGACAGAGCGCAGAGCTGCTGGGAGTTCCCTCATTTTACCACTCGGACATCCAAAAGAATCTGTCTCATTCGCAGAGTGGAAATATGGAGCGAAGATAATTGCAGTATATACACAGGGACAAGTTCACATTGATGAGCCGCTGTTTCAGTTCAGTGGAAGGTTAAAGGTGGGCAGTGATGATCTTAGTGTAGAAGTGACAGATCTTCAGCTTCAAGACTCTGGACGTTACTCCATTGTTGCAGATAAATCTGGAGTGCAGTTACCAACAAAGACAATCAGTCTGACAGTCTATGGTGAGTACTTTCATTCAGCTTCATCTTCCTTCTCAGTGTGTTTTTAAGGCCAGGTTCAGCAAAGTGTAGAGCCGATCTGTGCTTCATGAGTGCATGTACAGCCGCTGCGATTTTGTTCTGTATCTGTTCAGAATTTATCACCTTTTACAGTTTTTTTCTTGACTGTTACATATATTTCAGAGTACAGGGTCTCTGATCTCCAACACTCACACACACTTTCTCAAAACACTACACACTTTTAGCAGATTGTCCCATATTGAGAGCAAAAGAACCTCTGTCTTCAGAACCATGAGCATTCGATTACAAATGAAATATTCACAAAATACGAACCACATCTATTATATGAATTTATACAACAGATCAGGTTTTTCATGCTGTAAAGAGAATTAAGAACAAAGTTGCCACAGTGAATTTGCTGCTGTTTGCACTAAAGGAAATGCAGACAGGCAGATTAGAGACATTTTACATGAGAAAAAACACAAACTGTACACAAACTATATACAAACTGTATACAAAATATGCACTGCACTTACAAGAATTTAAAAAATAAAATAAAAATAAACTCAAACAGGACAACAGACCAAAGAATGTTTATTACAACATTTAAAATATGTTGTTTGTAAACATAAATAAACAAACAAACAAATAAAAAGCTAATAATGTCTCTCATCTCCATTTGGTCACAAAAAGCGATCTACATCACACACCGTGTGCTGTCTATCAAGACCCATTTCAAAAAATCTTCTATAACCTTCTAGAATGTGTTATCCAGTCATGGCAGTTCCTGACTCTGATGTTCCTAAATGCACCCTCTGTATTGAGAAGCATGGTGATCTGCTGGTGAGGATTTTGCTCATAGACCTTCCAAAATAAAGATAGAAAAGCCTCTTTGTTTGGATTTAGAAATGGTGAATATGTGGGAGGTGTAAGTAAGAGCTTTAGTTGTTCCTTGAACGACTTCATCAGGGACATTCAGACCCAACACAGAGCAGAGACTGTTCCTTCTCCTTCTCTGTCTCTACACTCCTCTTCTTCCTCTCTTCTTCTTTCAGCTTCATCATACAGCAGGCAGCAGTGCAGTACCTTTAGATTTTATTCACCTGTCTGTTGCTGGTTTGAAGCTCATTGGCTGAATGCCGGCAGATGTAGATCTCTCTCTTTCTCTCTCTCTCTCTCTCTCTCTCTCTCTCTCTCACACATCCACACAATATATATATATATAAACTAAAATATTCATACAGTTTTGGATCATCAAGTCATCGGCCCCTGGAAACAAATGTTTGGTGGGCCTCTCCCTACCTTTATTATCTTTCACCTTCACTATCTTTTTTGGGAGGTCAGTGATTTTTTTTTTAAATATCAACGCTGGGTGCCTGAGGCCTATGAAGCACCATGATGGCAGCATACTAACAGTGTTGGGCACGTCACTGGTATAGACTTAGTGTTTTTTTTACGATCAAGACAAAACATTAGCAAGTCAACTTACACATTAATGAGAACACTGGCTAACATCAACCCACAAAACAATGCAACACTTTCCTATAAAGCAGCATCCACTCTAGACAAGCACATCATTTACAGCAATGAAGATAACTAATTAAAATCACACAGCTCAAATGTACATAAAGATGAAAAAAAGCAGCAAACTTAAAAACCTAAACCGTCAAGCATTCTAGCCAATGTATACTGCTGGGGTGGGTGTGAATGTATCTTTTTTTTTTTCATTTGTGTCTTACCACAGTAAGCACAGTTCACCGATCACTGCTGTCAAGGGCAATGGTACTCTTTTCTTTAACTCAGTTGTAACCACATATTATTTTATTATATCTTTGTTATATGTGTATTTGCTGTGACGTGTTCGGAACAGTGGGCACCTGTCGTCAGTGTTTCCAGGTTCATGTTTTTATGATGAGAGGCTTTTAATCAAAATTTGGACTGGACATTTTTGCTGGACATGGCAACCCTTTACAAAGTCTTTAATAGAAAATCTATTCAGTAATGATAGTTACATAAAATAATTCAGTTGAGTTTTATCAGGGGATGCAGTAAGGCTACATTCTTTGTCATGCATAGTTGATATAATATTTTAAACATTTGAAAGAGATGTGAAGGAGGGCTACATAGACTGCATTTGCAAAATGGCCAGAAATTTCCAGAATGTTCCTGATAAGCAGTTCTTTCGTTTTCCAGACTTAAACATGTGACAAACATGTGTTAAACTGTGAAAGTATATTTCATTATGGTGGTCTTTGACGGGTCTATGTCTACATCTTCAATAGAGTTAATCTCTTCAACAATTTCAAAGCATTCTTCACACACTACTGTGGTCTCCTGCTGTGGGCTGCCAGGTTGTTTTTTATTCAAGTAACCAAAGACTTTAGCAATACTGATGTGTTCCTCCTTTTGACGCACTTAATGCTAAGTTATGTCTTTTTATGTACACATGATTCTTCAGCCTCAAGATGACCAGCTTTACTGTCATTGGCACTTCTTCAGTCCTTGTATTTTCCATCCAGATGCAAATGTTACATCTGGAAAGAAGTGTAGATCTTTTTCTTAGCTCTCTTGACCATAAACTAATAATGAGACACAGGTGACTAGGAATATCAGAAAATACTTACAGACTGCTCTATGTGCTATTCTGTAGCTACAAATGTTTACAGTACATGAACTTCTTTTACAGCCGTGCTTAAGATTGAGATTGAGAGCAGACAGACCTGGGTGGAGTCTTGTTTTTAGTGATGCACTATGAGCTCAATGCACTCCACAGTTTTCATCAGATAAATTATATGTGCTATTAGTCGAAAGCATGTATGACAACAGTAATAACTCTGCTTTATAATGTAACACTCTGCTCTCTGTGACTGTCTGAAAAAGGCTCAGGAAACCACAGGCCTTACCTGTGGTAGCAAAACATGCTAATGTACACATAAGAGAAAAGTTGAAGAAATAATTCCTGTCTTTTTTACCTATACTATATTACTGTATAATTCACTCTTTCAAAAATGATTGGTTTTGTATTCATTGTAGGTTTTTGCATTTAGATCTCTGTCTTTGAGCTGCAGTGTTCATTTTAGGTGGCTTCTTTTTCCTATAAGATACCTGATTGTGTTATTCAATATATTTTGTAAGTTCTACATCAAACTGGTTTAGGCTTACACTGCAGTGTATTAACAACTGTTAGACACTGATGTTGCCTATTGGATTTGAAATTGAATAGTGTTTATGTGGTTAAAGTGGAGAATGTCATTATGGATTTGAGAATATTTACTATTATTACTATTATTTGTGTTGCTATACTGGCATTTTGGGTAACCAAGGCTGAGTGGAATGAACAACCTTATATCAACCTAATGATTGTCAGAAGTCTTCCCTGGCAGTTTGTTAGCTATTTTCAGTTTTGGTCTACTCTGTGCAGTTCTACCTTTGTAAGTAATCCTTATAGTCATTAAACAAACTGCTCAGTGAGGTTTAGATTCAATGATTGACTCATCATGCTTTTCAGCCTGAAATTCAGTTTCTTTAACAGCATATATCAGTTTATTGGCCTGATGTAATGTGAATGCCATCTACTGAGTTATCTGGATTGACCTAATACTGTAAATCAAATGCATTGTAGAATTGAACTATTATAATATCACTGACTTTGTTTGACTTCTGCAATTGTTGGAATACAGAGCAATTTAAGAGTCAAAACAGTCAGCTCTGATTAATGAACTCACTCTGAGTCAATATGTTCTTTGAAATTTTAATATGATAAACACACTTTCTGCTGCAGGTCTGTGTGTTTGGGCTGATGAGAACACAGTGACAGAGTGCAGAGCTGCTGGGAGTTCCCTCATTTTACCACTCGGACATCCAGAAGAATCTGTCTCATTCGCACAGTGGAGATATGAAGGGAAGACATTTGCAGTATATAGAAAAGGACAAGTTCACATAACTGATGAACTGCAGTTCAGTGGAAGGTTAAAGGTGAACAGTGATGATCTTAGTGTAGAAGTCACAGATCTTCAGCTCCAGGATTCTGGAAGTTACTCCATTACTGCACATAAATCTGGAGTGCAGCTACCAACAAAGATAATCAATCTGACAGTCTATGGTGAGTACTTTCATACAGCCTCAGCTTCATTTTCTGTCCTTTTTACATATACTATGTTACTGTATAATTCACTCTTTCGAAAATTATTGGTTTCGTTTTTCACTGTAGATTTTTGCATTTAGATCTCTGTCTTTGAACTGAATTGTTCATTTTGCAGTATATTAACAACAGTTAGACACTGTTGTTGCCTATTGGATTTGAAATGAAATAGTGTTTATGTGATTAAAGTGGAGAATGTCATTATGGATTTGAGAATATTTACTATTACTATTATCTGCATTGCTGTGCTGGCATTTTGAGTAACCAAGGCTGAGTGGAATGAACAAACTCATATCAACCTAATGATTGTCTGAAGTCTTCCCTGGCAGTTTGCTAGTTATTTTCAGTTTCGGTCTACTTCATGCAGTTCTACCTTTTGTAAGTAATCCTTGTAGTCATTAAGCAAACAGCTCAGTGAGGTTTACATTCAATGATTGACTCATCATGCTTTTCAGACTGAAGATGAATATGAAGTTTCAGCTTCTGATGAATCGCTTTTAAACAAACTTTGGGCTGGAGATTTTTTTCTATACCTGGCAACCATCTCACCATAAAATGTTAAAAAATACAGCAAGATCTGTAGAATATCTCATATTTAGAGGACTTTTATGATGTGACAATGTGACTTTTGGAAAAATGAGGTTCATCTTGTTTCTACAAATAAGTATTTAAAATAGAATTTTAACAAGTGCTGGTAAAATCTTATTCAGTTGAATTTTTTTCAGGGAATATGGCAAGATTACATACTTTGTCATGCATAGCTGAAACAATTAGCCTATTTTTAAACATTTTCAAGAGATGAGAAGAAGGGTTACATAAATAACATTTGTAAAATGCAAATGTTACATCTAGAATCATCTACCTTTTGTTATTGTTCCTGGCCATAATCTAGTGATGAGACACAGATGGCCAAGAAATAACCAAAGCGTCGAAGTACTTCCCAAATGAGAGTCCCAAAGGGATGTTATTCATATACAGTAGATATAAATACCATTAAAAAAAGATTACAGTACCAAAACAACAACAAAAATATATTCTCATCAAAATACTTATGGACAACACTGTGCACCATCCTGCATCAACAAAAGATTACACTACATAAACTTCTTCTTTTACAGCCGTGCTTAAGACTGAGATTGAGAGCAGTCAGACCTGGGTGGAGTCTAAAAACAGCTGTGAAGTTCATCTTCTTTGCAAAGTGCGAGAAGCTGAGAAGGTGTCCTACACATGGAGCGGCTATAAGACTGACAGTGGAGCTGGGCTGCACTTCACTCTCTCACCAGCAGAGGGAGATGTTACACTGAGCTGTACTGCAGCCAACAGTTACAGTAACGATACTAAAACAATGAAAGTGACCTGTAATCCAAGCAAGACCCCTACAGGTATTTACAGTACTCATACTGTATTATGCAATTACAATCCTTTACTGTATTTGTACAGTTGTTTCCTGTATTTCTGATCTACTGTGAACAGCTATCTCATTTTTGGCATAGCAATCTATCTAGCAAGCTTCAGGTAGCAAATGATTAAACATTAATGCTCACAGTTAAAATAACGATCATGTTATTTCACAACAACATAGAACTGTACATCAATCACACAATGAACTGAACATCACATTACAGTGACAGTTACTGCACTGATAGCATCATTAAGACTATAAAGACTGTAGCAACCAAATATCTATTGATTTTAAGATTACAGGATAAACTAGTTCCTGAAATACCGTCATGATTAGAATACCAAGTGTAAAATACATTCAAATGAATAATCATGTCAGAAAATGCATATTTTCATGTTGAAACCAAAAGCTCCACCACATCATTACAATATTCACTTTTCCAGCATGCTTTGTAATTAACAGCTAATTACTGTAAAATTCAACCTTTTAACTTCTTTGACAAGAAGCTTAACCTGTATCTCCCAGAATGCATCACTCTTTACAACAATCTGCTTCATTTAAATAGTACAGTAAATCACTGAAGAACTTTCAGAGTAAATTTACTTCAGTTCTTTACAGTGTAATTGGTAGTCAGAGGCCCTTTTTATTTACTAAGCCAGCTTTTGTTATTGTGTAAAAACAGGGATTCTCTGGCTCTGTGAAGGTCTTAAATGTAATTATCACTGGTGATATAGTGGTGGTTCACAGTAATTAGCAGTGGGTAATGTTACAGCCATGTAAACAGGAGATGAAGATTCAAATCTCTCTGCTTTTTTATTTTTGGTTGCACCTCATCTGGAGTTGGTTGAAGATACTTAGTGAGAAAATATAGAAATGTTCAGTTTATAATGTATGTACTGTTTTTAACAACCCTGTCCTATTAGTGAAAAGTTGGTTATGACAGTCTTATTTTAAATGATCAAACATCTAAACTATTACATTACAGTGACTTTATCCTGTGTGTGTTTCAAGTGTGTCTAATTCAGGAGCTTCATTTTCAGTGTTCAGTCTGCTCAGTAGTTTAATGGCAGTGTCTCCGTATCTGCTGGTGTCCATCGTGCTGGGGGTCAAATGCTGCAGAGCTCGAGGTAAGCACACTCAGTCTTCCTGTGGGTCACTTATAACAGACACACTTCACTGAGACAGACATATTTATTAGTCTGAAATAAAATCATAACATTTGATTGATTTAATATTCATCACTGTGTGTTTCACAGCTAAACCTGATGAGGAGAAAAGAGCACATGCAGTGATAGAAGATGGAGCATGTTGACAAGAGCTTTGCCAAGATTTTAAATTCAATTATAATCTTGGGTGCTTTAAAACCCCAGTTGTATGGATTGCTTGCATTACATCAGTGTTTAATAAAGCTATTAAATGAATAACTTCTTGCGCTAAAACTTTAATCAGGTTTGTTTATGCTGTCTGTGCAGGTGTAGTGATGGACAGCTGTGGCGCTCTCAAATCATATCAAAATGATTTCACTAAGCAGTAAACTTTAATGCAGTTTAATGTCTCTTTTTGATAGATTTTAAAAGAGATGTTTTTTTTTTGTTTTTTACATTCCACCCAATGACTGCTGGGATAGGTTCCAGCTCCCCCGTGACCCAGAAGGATAAGTGGCTAAGAAAATGTGTGTGTGTATGTTTACATGAAGCAAACAACAAGCAGTTGTTTTATTTTTCCACTCTTTTTGATATATTTTTTCATATTGTACATTTTATTTACTGTTATTATTTTTGTAGTTTTTTCCATTTATTTAATTGTCAGTAAAATCTTTCATTCAGGATCCTTTAGTTTAATAGTTTAACAACTTAAGTGTGATTCTCTTCTGTCTATTTTGTATTAAAGACAGAAAGACAGAATGATGCATTTTAACAATAAAATAACAACATAATAACAATAACATGACATTGTTCTGTTCATTTGTCTGCTCTGAATGGTTGAGTCCTGAGGGTAAATACCTTTAATGTACTGAATCTTTTATTTACTGCTCAGAACCTGAAGGAGCATTTCAGCACTATATGCTCTCTAACAGGGTTGCCAGTGTGAGCTTTATTAACAAAGTTGCCAGTGTGAACTTTACCACTGCATGATTTATTATCCCCTCTCCATCCCATCCATCAATGAAAAGGGGCCACCATAGGACCACTGCTTTGGGCAAATAACACTGGAGCCATCCTTTCCAAAGCTGGAAAAATACAGGACACTCCACACTACTCTACATACTTCTCTCTTTAACGTTTCACCTCTCTCTCTCTCTCTCTCTGTTCATTATTTCTTTCTATTTCTCTATTTTTCTGTCTCACTGGACTTTTTTCTTTTTTGCTTGTTTCTGTCTTTCTTTCTCTCTATCATGCCACAGTCCCTTTCATTCTTTCTTTCTCTTCCTGTATTGCACTGCTCTTTTTTCTCTCTAACATTAGACGTTTCAGTGCTGATTAACAGTATTAGGTGATTAACATATTTTATGTTTTGTTTTACTTTTCAGTGATATACTATAAGCCCATAGTTTTCATAAGATTAATTATCTGTGCTATTAGTTGAAAGCCTATATGACAACAGCAATAACTCTGCTTTGTCATGTAACAATCTGCTCTCAGTGACTGTCTGAAAAAGGCTCAGGAAACCACAGGCCTTGCTAATGTAGACACAAGCGAAAAGTTGAAGAAATATTTTTTGATGTATGTATTTACCAACACTTTTACCAATACACTTTCATGACTACTCTTTTTTCTAAACAAAAATTGTGGCTGTACTGTAGTTAATATGATAAATACTCTCTCTGCTGCAGGTCTGTGTGTTTGGGCTGATGAGAACACAGTGACAGAGCGCAGAGCTGCTGGGAGTTCCTTCATTTTACCACTCGGACATCCAAAAGAATCTGTCTCATTCGCGCAGTGGAGATATGAACGGAAGACATTTGCAGTTTATAGAAAAGGACAAGTTCACATAACTGATGAACTGCAGTTCAGTGGGAGGTTAAAGGTGAACAGTGATGATCTGAGTGTAGAAGTCACAGATCTTCAGCTCCAGGATTCTGGAAGTTACTCCATTACTGCAGATAAAACTGTAGGGCAGCTACTAACAAAGACAATCAGTCTGACAGTCTACGGTGTGTACTTTTATACAGCTTCATCTTCCTTCTCAGTCTAGTTTTAATGCCAGGTTCAGGAAAGTGTAGAGCCAACCTGTGCTTGTATATCTCAGATTCTAGAGGAAGAATCATGTATGCATGTACAGCTGCTGGGATTTTGTTCTGTATCTATTCAGAATTTATCATTCTTTACATTTTCTTGACTGTTTAAACATATTTTACAGTACAGGGTCTCTGAACTCCAATGTTCACACACTTTCTCAAAACACTACACACATTTAATAAATTTCTCCCATATTGAGAGCAAAATAAACCTCTTCAGAGCCCTGAACATTCTCTTAGAAATGAAATATTCACAAAATACCAAACACATCTATCATATGAATTTCTACAACAGGTCAGGTTCTTCATGCTGTAGAGACAAATTAAGAAAAAAGTTGCCACGGTGAATGTGCTGCTAATAGGACTGAAGGAAATGCAAACATGCAGACTAGAGACATGAGAAAAAACACAAATTGTAAGCAAGAATGGTGTTGCCGGCACCAGACCTAGGGGATATCTGGGCCAGGAGCAAGCGGTACGCAGGCTGGGCAGCACTGCAGACCTGTGGATCAGTGGAGAAACGAGACAAAAATTTGTGTCCAGTTGAAGCCAACGCGAGTTTATTTCTGCATTACTACTTTTCATTTGTCACCTTTAGAATTACTTTTTTCCTTGTTTTACACAAGATTTGTGAGTTGTATAAAAATTCTGTATATAAACAAAATATAAAAAAATAATACAAACATATTTATACATATACATACTTCCATTCCAAATGTACTACGATTAATATAAAGCTTATGAAGAGAATAAAGGCAAATAATTTCACAATCTTTGGCTTTCGATTTAGTTTCTCTGACAATACATATATAGTTATAGTTATCTTTTATAGTATCTACAATAATATAACAACTAAAGAAATTGGCTTTGATGTTGTACTAGTTCATACATTTGCTCAACATTATCTCTACATAATTACTTATCTGCATTCACATAACATTTTCACTACAACAGCATAAAAACACACATACACAATGCAGCCAATTGGAGAAACGAGACAAAAATTTGTGACTAGCTGAAGCCAGCGCGAGTTTATTTCTGAACTGCGCATGCTCAGAGCTTAAAACTAGAGTTTCTCCAGGCAATCCACAGGGGAGTAGAGCGCCATCTATTGGTTAAATGGCAGAACACCATGTAGGACAAAATAGAAACTGCTAGAAAGCTATTAGAGTTGTTCTGATCATCAAAAAATAGGGGGGGTTGTCTTACGTGAACTTTAGATAGAGGCGATTTCTTAACTCTCTACAATGGCAGTTTCTGACTCTGATGTTCCTAAGTGTATCCTCTGTAATGAGAAGCCTGGTGATCTGCTGGTGAGGATTGTGCTTATAGACCTTCCAAAATAAAGATAGAATAGCCTCTTTATTTGGAGTTAGAAATGGTGAATATGGTGGGAGGTGTAGATCAGAGCCTTAGTCGCTCCTTGAACGACTTCATCAGGGTCATTCAGGCCCAACACAGAGCAGAGACTGTTCCTCTATTGTTCCTCTCTTTCTGTGTCTCTACACTTCTCTTCTTCCCTCTCTTCTTCTTTCAGCTTCATCATACACCAGGCAGCAGTGCAGTACCTCTAGATTTTATCAATGTGTCTGTTGCTGTTTTGAAGCTTATTGGCTGAATGCTGGTAGGCCAGTTCATACAAAACACTACTGTGTGGCTTTACTTCATGAAATAAAACATGCCTACAAGCCTAGATCATGAAGTTATCGGCCCCTTGGGCATAAAAGCTTGGTTGGCCTATCCCTGGCTACTTTTTGTGAGTGGTCAGTGATTTTTATTTTTAATGATGTTACAGCAGGTTACATGAGGCCTATACAGCACCATGATGGCGGCATACTAACCACAGTGCTGGTTGTGTCACTGATATAAACATAGATTTTTTTTTTTCCAATCAAGACAAAACAATATCAAGTTTACTCACATATTGATGAGAATGCTGGTTAACACTTTCCTATAAAGGGTGCATCCACTCTAGACGAGCACATCATTTACAACAATGAAGATGACAAATTAAAATCAGACAGCTCAAACGCACTTAAAGACAGAAAAAATCAGCAAACTTAAAAACCCAAACCGTCAAGTATTCCAGCCAAAGTATACTGCCACTGTGGGTGTACTTTTTTTCATTTATATCTCACTTCTGATGACAGTTCACAGATCACTGCTGGCAAGAGCAATGGAACTTTTTTCTATAACTCAGTGACATTTTATACTTGGCTTTGGAAATGGGCATCTTCTAACCTGTCTGAGCGTCATGTCTTGCATTTACAGATCCCCCAGCAACATCTATAGAATATCTGGAGTTTCACATTCAAAATACATTCAAATGAACTCACTGCTAAAACAGGAGGACCACATAGATCACATTTGCAAAATGGCCAGAAATTTGTGGAATGATCCTGATAAGCAGTTCTTTCTTTCTCCAGATATGTGGCAAACATGTGTGTTAAACTGTGAAAGTATTTTGTCTCAGAGCTCCACCACTTTGTGTCATTGTAAGTAAACTGGACTTTCAGTCTTTGAGATATAGCCCACAGTGGTGACCCCTCCAGTATCATACTGATGTATTCTTCTCATTATGGTGATCTCTATCTACATCTTGGGTAGAGTTCATCTCTTCAGCACTTTCAAAGTGTTCTTCACATGGTCACACACTACTGTGGCCTCCTGCTGTGGGCTGTTTATAACTCACATCACCAAAGACTTTACCAACATTGATGTGTTCCTCTTTTTGACACACTTAATGCTCAGTTATGTCTTGGCTGTGAATCTTATATGGTAGAAAAATGAAAAACTAACATTCTACACAAAAGTTTTCTCATCCAAATACTGGACTGTGTGCCTTCCTGCAGCCACAAAGACTTAGACTACATAAACAAATTGTCTTTTACAGTCGTGCTTAATGTTGAGATTGAGAGCAGTCAGACCTAAAAAACAGCTGTGAGGTTCATCTTCTTTGTCGAACACAAAAAGATGAGAAGGTGTCCTACACATGGAGTGGCTATAAGACTGACCGTGGAGCTGAGCTGTCTGACCTGTACTACAGTCAGCATCCTCTCCACTGGGACTAACACAACAACAGTGAACTGTAATCCAAACAAAACCCCAACAGGTACGCAGCTATGAGCTGCAATTATACAGTGATACAACCAAAAACCCTAATAACAATGGTTAGTAATATTATGTATGAACTGTATTTAATATATTTAATGTGTGTTCTGTATTTAACAAATCTGTTTTATCAATGAACAGCTGGTTATAGCAGTCTTATTTTACATGATCAAGAATCCAATTTATTCTGTGTGTACATATATGAGGTGAGAACTCTGTCTTCCTGTGGGTCACTTACAGGAAACACACTCTCAACCTCACCGAGACATTTTTATTAGCCTGAAATTAAATCATAAAATTTTATTAATTTAATG